AAAAAATATATTGCTTTTTTTCTTCTTGAAACATTTTAAAAAAGAACATAAATTGAGTCCAGACTAATATTCTATTCATGAATTACCTAGACATTAGTCTACACATACTTCGTTTTGACGTTAAGGCAAAAAAAAAGAACTACACTTATTAAATATCATAACAGATGTTTAGATTATCTCGATAGTATATGTTCTTCTTTAACATATTTGTCTGATGAATTAAGTTTATCCGTAAATTATTATACAAACTGTGCACGATTTGATGTAGCTTCTTTCAGTTATTTCGAGACATTTATTATATATTTAGGCTGACATTAAATACTCTCATTGATCAATCATGTTCAATGAAACAGTTAGACGATGGCAATCCTGATGTAATGAATTTTATGATTACATTAGAACGTATTCTATCATTTCGTATGAGAGGTAAACATTTTTATTCATATATAGGAATATAGGCTATCTATTATATTAATCTTACTTTAGCAAACTGGTTATCAGAACGACGAAGTTTTTGGGAATTTATTAAACCTGCTTGCATTGGATCTTGTCGTCAAAATATTATCGAACGAATAGAAGAAATATCAAAAATGAAAAGTTTAAAAGAAAAGGTTTGATTTTTCTCTTCTAAACATAAAAATTATTAAATTACTGTTGTTGTTGTTGTTGTTGTTGTTTTATCAGGGACGTGCATGGATCAAATTTGCATTATTAGAAAAAAAATTATCGGAACTATTAAAATTAGTTATTAGTGACTGTCATTTGGTGAGAAAATTTTATTACGATGATTCAATAATGACATCATCACAAGCGTTCATTCTATGCGATCAATTAGCGGGATTATCGGCAATTGATTTCAGGTAAAGTAACGGACAAACATTTAGCGTTAAGTTTATTTCTTCTCTAGACGTAACAAGTGAACATTGTAAGATGTTTTGATGATCGTTGTACTCTGTATTAGAGATTTTTTTAAAAAATTTTCATCGAAACATTTTATAATATTCACTTATATAAAACAAAGAGGAAACAAACTTGATGTTAAACGTTTCTTCTCCATTTCAGTTATATTTCAATATGATAAACTTGAATAGTTTAAATTTTGAATATTTATTGTTACTTGTAGTTTTTGTTTCAAACAAGACGTGACTGCTTCTTCAACTTCGCCAGCATTATTGAATATGAATGATTTGGATATTGATGTTATTGATTTGACACCATTTCTATGTTATCAACCAAAACAGTATGTGAATTTGAAAAGTCTAATTCCAAACAACAGACTTTCTATTTTAGCGTAAAGTATCCACTGAAAGAAACAAATGTTTACAATGAAACAGGAGAAGATGTTGAAAATTACCTTGTAACTAACGTACAACAAAATAGTGAACTTGATTCAACAAAAGTGATTTCGATTGAAAAATATAAATTAGAAGTTGAACAAAGGGTAGGTTGTCTTATTTATCGTATAGAGGGGATATAATTCGATACCGTCGCTATACATTTTGCTCTAGTAACACTCTTTACTGTATTTGAATAGATAGATCTACAGAGAATTTTGAAATATCGGTATTCCCTTTGTTTGTTTAATTTAGAAATATTTTGAAGAATTACTACGTCATCGAGATCGTGAATTGCAACAGATAAAAATTCAATTTGATAATTTGAAACGAGATCGTGAAATAGAAGTTGTACAACTGGAAAATATCATACTTGAATTACAGTTAGAATTGTAAATAGTAACAATCATTTTTATAATTAAAAGAAAAATTGAATATTTTTTCTCCTCTTAGACACTCAGCACGAGATGAAGCAGAACGAAAACGTAAAAAGCAGCCAACACTTATCGCTTCATTGAATCAAACAGAAACGAAAAGACCAGTATCATCATCGGTTGGTATTCGACGTAGTTCAACGTCATCAAGTCTCCAACCAATTATTGATAGTACATTAATAAATGAAGAAGATAATTCATCAGAAGCGTGCGTTTTGTATTGATTTCTTTATCTTCTATCTTCAGCTTGTTTATATTTTAGACAGATGCGATCGATTGAAAATTCATTGACACGAACAGACGGAAAGACAATGCCGGTATATTTATCTTCATCAATCATTTTTACTAATTAAAAATATTTTTTCTTTTTAGGTATCAGATTTAATTAATCAAAATCTTGTTGATAATCTAAAAGTAAATGAATATGTATTTACACGAAATGTCGATGATATTAGTACAACAAATTCTCAATCGTCACGTCGATCGAGTCATTCAACAAATGATGTCGATGAACAATATGAACTAGTACAAATGGGTACTACGGCAAGATTAGCAGCCATAATAACCGAAAAACAGAATGAAAAAGGTTTAATTAGTTCACCGGAAATGCTTTCATCTGCAACGTCGTTGTCAGGCGATGATGAAACAGAAAATAAAAAACAACAAGAAGAATCTAAAAAAGTAATTGATGAATCGGGCAGTTTTGAAACAACAATCTTGTCGCCAGAACAACAAGATTTATTACAAGAAGAAAATACGGAATAAATAATTTTTTTTATTTTTCTCTATTATAAACAAAACATTCCCAGTTTTCTATGCACATTTATTTCGTTTGATTTTATGATCAACGTTTTTTTTGTTTTTTTTTGTGCAAACAAATATCAAATGTTTTATTATTTATTTTTATCGTTTTCTTTTCTTTTATCAAATCAAATATTGTGTATATAAAACAATTACTTGCAATAGTTATTTTTAAAATATCAGCCTCTTTTAACGAGCATATTTTTATCTGTTCCATTTCATTAAGTTCTTAGATTTGACACATTCATCTTGTATAAAAATCATCATCAAACTATTTTTTCTTGCAAAAACTCTTTCGTGATAACTGTTTCTTCTTTTACTTTTTTGGAAATTCTTAACCGTACGCCCTTTATGCGCTTACTTCTTTCTTATTATTTGCTTCTGCTATAAACCATTTGTTGTTGTTACGTGTGTGCTTTCATATTTATCATATTTAATGTGTGATTTTTACTCTTCGATATTTCTTTCTGGTGTAAACTTTTTTCAAAATATTTGTAAGTGAGTGTGCGTTTTTGGATACGATCTAGCTACGAAATAAACTTGAAAATAAATTCTTTACAGACTATCGAAACATATTACACATAATATGAACATCTATGAGTAGTGGTATAGCAGATATTCGATCATAATGCATGGCACAGTCATGAGGCTATCATAGGTGTCATAGCACCAAACTTCTGATGAACTGAGGTGTCATCTACAAATACACAGAGCTATCCATATTTACATTAGGCCGAGTAACTAACTGAGGATTTTATACTTTTTCCAAAACCGGGCGTTTCGAAAATTGCTTTGTTAAAAATTTGATGACTCGGTAAAAATGTAGAGCAAACATTTCTCTAAAAAACGAGAGGCTCTGTATGATTTGTTTTGAGATTTCAGCAGCGATACCTCAAGAACACACAATCGAGTAGTAAACGAGTATCGAGTATTCAATTAGTCCCTTATGGAGACATTGCTGCCAAAATTTGAAAACCTCAGAACATCAGAAAACCCACAAAAAATCAACTCTCGGAGCTGGGGGAAGAAACTTTTCAAAAACAATGCCATCGAATAGAGCAAACATTTTTGAGTAAAATGAGACGTCTTCGAGTTTTGGACGATGAGTTTTCATTAAATAGCATCCATTTTACGAAACATCGATCACCATCTTTTGTAATTTTCGCTTAGTTTTGCTTACTTTCAGTCAACATTGGCTTATCGTACAATGGATGGCATTCAATGAAAAAGCATCAACGGAAAGAAGCTAGAGGCTTGCGGATTTCTATAAAAGACAGTTGGGAGTATCGATCTATGAAAAAAATAACAATAAAACTACATCCTACAAGTGATGTATCTCATCAATACTTTTTAGATAAGATCCTCTCAACTAAAAACGTTTCAGGTTTTGAATGTCTGACCCACATCGATCCAAACTAACCAGAATTTCAACATATACTCCATTTTGTCTCTCATGTTCTGAATTTCTAACAAAAACTTTAGGAATCAACAGAAATTACTTAGCTTTTGAGAAACTTTTCTAGATATCTTTACAAATTATGAAACTGTTTTCTAATCCTAATTGTAGAATCTGATTCAGCAAACAAATTGGAGTTTATGTTGAAATTATAGTGTAGTTTGGATCGATTTTAACTGAATATGAACTTTGTATTTTTAATTTTTTCCATAGATTGATGCTTCCAACTATCTTCTATCGAATAAAGAAATTCGCAAGTCTCTAGCTCCTTTCCTTCAACAGTTATTCAAAAACATTCATGAAGACTATATTTTGAAATGATTAATAGCTTACCCTTAAAAAAAATTCATGGTTACACGGTCCTAGCGTTGTAATTATCATTTTTTAAGAAAAGAGTAGTGAGCAAGGTTACAATTACGATAATAGATATATTCACAACAATCTGTCTGAAATTTGGTTTGAGTGGCTAAAAAATGTTTTTTAAAAGTACTGAACCAATACAAATAATTTATCATATCTTCTGCTTTTTATGTAGTTCGAGGTCACCATGCCCTATTTCATAAACATGATAATATTTGACGTGTTTCGAATGATCCAAACAAACCATTTCTTTTTGCTCTGATTGTATACGAAATGTTTGTTTATAGAAGATAAGATTTTTGCTCTTGGTCTTACCCATTATACTCAGAATAGGGCAGAAAAAACGTCGATCATAAGTTATTAATTTACTTTTTATCACGTTACAGAACCCTAAGAAAACGGTAAAATAATAAACATATCTTAAAATTTTAAAATATGTGAGGCTGTCGAGAAATATGAGTATTGCTCCATATAACTGAGTCTAATTTATTTTTTTTTTCCTGTTATTTTTATTTATGAGCTCGTAGTCTATCATTTTTTCTCGAACTTTCCTACGGCTTTCAACTTCCTGTAAAATTAAGTGTTTTTTTTCTTTTTTTGTTTTATAACAGAAACATGCCTAGTCCATTCGATATTGTCGATTCGGCTAATCGTGAATTCGAAAAATTGTTTAATGAAGGAAAACTTAGTGAATTAGTTAAATTATATTCAGATGATGGTAAACTATTACCACCCGATAAAAACGTCTATGATGGACATGAGGCTATTCAAAAATTTTGGCAGGGTGCTACAGCTGCCGGTGTGAAAGATATTAAATTGACGACAGGAAATGTATTAGAAGCTGGTGATTATCTTATTGAAACAAGTTCATACAAACATAGTCTTGATCATGGAAATTTTCAAGTTATATGGAAAAAGAATTCGGATGGCAAATGGCAGCTTCATATTGACATATTTAATTGATAAGACTATATCGTTTTATTTTCGTAATAGTTTAGAAGGATTATGAAAACATGATCTTTTTCTATTAAAATAAATATTTAAGAATCAAAAATATTTTTCGAAGTATTAATTATTATCTAATATTTAAGTTCTACATGCACCACAATGAGTCAACTAAATAGCCACTATTTTTTTGAGAATATCAACAAACTAATAACATTCGAGTGTTTGATTTTATTCGCGACTTTGCTTAATAAGGCATATTTTAAAAAATAAGATGCTAACTTTCCCAAACAAGAGGAAAAGCTGCTGCAACTCTTATTTTTTACATAAGCAAGCAGATTTTTGTAAAACTCTTACCTAGTTATTTTGTCCGAATAGCTAGGAAGAAGTCTTTTTTTTGTATCTGAGATAAAACAGTGGCTAAGAGCTAGTTTAGAGTCAGAAATGAATCCGTTGTGGCCTATTTTTATTCAACTTTCCTGACAAGTGCAACACATAAAATCTCTTAAGTCTTCATTTCATGATCTAAATAAAAACACAATTCGACGAGAAAGTTTCACATTTTAACTGCAATGGCAAGATTTATATTTAAAAATTATTTATTATGATAATGATGAAAATAATAGATACAAATGAATTGAAGTATATTGTAAAAATTGCTAAACACAAATACATACATACACACACACACACACATAATTAGAAAATACGCCTGTATTTCATATTATACTCAGTACCAAAGCAATTGCTTACCTCTCAAAAAGAAAAAACAGAATAGCAAGTTTTAATTAATTAGAGAAGCTAGATTAAATTGAATAGAACTTCGATATAAGAAAAAATATATGTATATTATACAACATACAGATCTGTCAAATTAAATGGATAACAAAATCAACGACTCTTGCTGCAACACCACCAATAAATAACCTCAACCATTCGACCGAAAGATGAGGTTCAACAGCAGCAGACGTCGTTGCTTTGTTGTTTGATTTAAATACCCGGCCGTGTCAGGGTGGCTCACTTATATCAAAAATAACTTTTGTTAACATATCTTTTGCTGATTGCCTTGCTAATTTTTCATCATTTTTAATAAATTTAATTAAATTTTCCGCTTGTTGTTGACCAGTAATATAGGCACCATGTACAGTTGAATAATAATTCTTATGAGTTGCTTCGCCAGCAAAAAGAAGTTTTGGCTAGAAAATTTGAAGAGAATTAGTAAAGAGCGGAATAAAACAAACAAAAAAAATCCTATAAGAAATAAAACGATAATAATTATGCAGTTTGAGATATTAAATTAAGTTTAAATCGTGTTTATTTGCTTACTTTCCAGCGGCACTTGCCTGCACTGCCTTCGAACAGACACACCTTCAAACAGTGTCCAGATAAAAACGTGAATATCAGACGCATGATGTGTGTGTCTCCTGACTTAGATATTGATTTTCTTACTCTTGTTTTTCATGCGTCTGTACCGCGCCGTTTTCCCAGCCTCCTGATTCCGGTTATCTGCTCTACAGAAGTAAAGCAGCGCCGCTAAAAATCATGGAAAAAAAGAAACAAAAAGCAACATTATTACGATAGTATAATAGAAACTAATAAGATGGGATGGCACTCTAACAAGCAGAAAACATGAAACAACAAACTGATCCAATGTTCTGCTATTCCAAATGACATCGATGTAAGAATTTACTACATACCACGTTATTGACATATAACGGTCTTGACAAATCTTTAATATGTTGTTTTGATGTAGCTCCTACTGGTACGTAAGAATAAGAACCTCGTGAACAGGGATTTGAAAACCATTGCGTTCTACAAACAAAAATCGATTATTCAATTCTAGAACTACTAATGAAGGTAAACTCTTCATCTTATTTACCGTATAACTTTATTTGGTTTTGGAATTGATGAATTTTTTAAACTTTTTCGTAATACATTTGTTAAAACATCGCCAATATACGTTTCATCCAAATCTTCACAATAAATAGCCTAAAATTAAATGAAAATAATGTGTATGTTTTATCTGAAAAAGAATAAATTATTTGAATTTGCTTACTTCATCACCCGTTATCCATCCAAGTAAAACATTATCATACACTTTCATAAATAAAAAAATTTTCTTATACCATTCTTTTTTTATATCAATATTATCGTCTTTGTCATAAATAATAGCCAAACTATCACCTTTAATAAAATCCAAATTATCATAAAATAAATAGATTTTATCAACCGTTCCCATATCCAATTTGTGTATAGCTTCTGTTTTCCAAGCTAAAAATATAATATTTAATATGTTTGATATTACTGAAAAAAATAATATTTTACCTGGTAATGCGGGTGTAAATAAACTTTTATAATTCCATTTTAAACAAGCTAAGGGTATTGTTACAATGCAATGATCACATTCATATCGTTCACCTGTTGCACATTCAATTTTAATACGTTGATCATTATTATACCATGAAATATTTTCGACAAATTTTTCAAAACATAGCCAATTTTCAGGTATTAATGAACGAAGATAACGAATTAATGAACCATAACCACATGGAAACTCAAGATCAGGACCTTTTGGACGTTGATAAGAGCCAAATTCATAGTGACTAACTTGATCCATACTAAATAAAAATATTTATTAAAATTTAATATGTTTAGTTTTCAAATCGATCTTACCTATTACAACCACATTCTCCCGTTTCTTGATCGAATCTAAAAATTAAATATAAATATGAATACATATATTTTGTTTTTCTCTCTTCTATTTACCGTCTCTGTAATAGTTTCAATTTTAATCGTCTTGTTTCACCATCACCACCATTCAAATTTAAAAACTTTTGAAATTTTTCAGAAAATACTTTTTGAAAACTTTCACTTATTAAACGTTTATCAACCAATGATGTTTGATTATTATTTATTGAATCTAATTGAAATAAATCACGTATATCTTGTGCTAAACTCTCAAAAAATTGATCAACTTCAACATGTAAACTATTTGGTATTTCATTTCCATTTTCATCGACACACATTCCAATATCATAAGTAAGAATTGTACCCGTATGTGATGGAAATTGTTCACGTTGTACTAACTCATAGACGGGATTATTTTCAAGACCATGTATCCAACAAGCACCCATATCTAATGGCTTCGAAAAACTATCATCAAGATAATTGGTAAGAATACGACCACCAACACGATCTTGACCTTGAAATTAATAAATTGAATTTATTCATATACATCTGTTTTATCTTATATTTATTTTATTAAAGATTTATTTACCTTCCAAAATGAGAACATTTTTAAAACCCGATTTTTTTAATTGATAAGCGGCTGACAGACCGGCCGTTCCGGCTCCGATGATTATGACCTGGCGGAAAACTGGTCGGTTGATTAAAGAATTCTAAAACATAATATAAATATTTTATTATAGAGAATTTAATAAAAAAGTTAAAAATTTACGGGTACTTACTGGTGTCTGATCGTCCGATAACATGCCTCCGTTTCACGAATGTAAATTTGACCGCCACTTTTTGCTAAAACAATAGAAATAAAATTAAATATTATCTGTTTCATATTTAAATTTTCAATATCGAAACTGCTATAAATCTCACTTTTATTTTCTACATTTATTCGGACAAAATATTATAATAATTATTTTTCTAAATATCTTTGAACAGCAACTGTTGTATTCTGTAGATGTTTCAGGAATACTAAAATCTATCTTATCCTATGAAGTGTAGTAATCATCTTATATATATATATCTGTCTAGTCGCTCACTAATATAAGATGATGATAAAAGAAATTAAAATTGCTCTTTGTCTAAGTATACTGGAAATATTTTAAGAATATTTTTATCCTACCTTTCGATTCAGTGTCCTTCCTGCCGCTAGATAAGCGAAAAATTGATTAATTACGAGATTTTATTATTGTTGAAATATAACTTTGATTGAACGTGAGTGAATCGATGTATTTATATGTTACAGTTAATAATCTCGTATTAAATTGAATATTAAAGAAAGATACAAAAATAAAAGAAAATTTTTGTTAATATATAGTAAATCTCTTTACAAGTAATTATTTAAATACGTAATAACAATTAAAAATATTGACAAGGATTAATTTACAAGATGAGAAAGTATAATTATATCTAAAAGTAAATATTTAGAGAATAAAACATTTTGGGAGTATCCAGTATCTAAAGATATATTTCTCATAAGATAGAAGTCGTTATATACGCTGATAAAAAGTGGAAAAACAGGATATATGATAGAATTGAAGACAAATAAATGAGAAATAATAGAAGTTAAGAGGATATATAAAAAATATGTTTGGTTTCAATATTCGATTATAAAATTTTGTAGACTATTTTTCTATTGCCATATTTTATACATAAAAAAAAATGTTTTTAAAGAATACATTTGTCGATTGTATAAAAACAAACAAAATTCTTTTAATACACACACATGGCACTGTCAATTGAAACAAAGATTCAGCCATGTATACACTTCTAATACAGTCCAGTTGTTCATCGTCCGTCAGTTAGATTAATCATAGGAAAAATTTTTTTATTAGCTATTCTTTTATTCATTCAGACTAAAAATATTTCTTCTACTTATTATTGTTATGCTAAATAAGATTCGATGTATGTTCTTTTCTACATATTTCGTTTTTATTTCTTCTTTAAAAGAACGGAATAAATTACGTAATCGTACTGACATAGTACTGTGTCAGATTTAGCTATCATGCAGTGTAATCGATCATTTTTAGACTAACATTTTATCGAAGAAAGAAGTAGACTTCTTCAATGTCAAAGAGAATGTTTTGAAAAGAAAAAAGAATCTATTTTTTTGTACGCAAAAGTAAAGAAAAACATGAACTAAATAAACAAAAAAATAAAAATAAAAAAAAAAATAATATAAGAAAAAAATAAAATTTTTAAAGAACGCAAATTTTTGAGAACATAAGAAACTTGTTCTGTTCACTTGTTTTATCAAAAGATGAAATTCAAAAAAACACCATCAAACAATCATTTTTTTCTTCTTCTTCGTCTAATAGATATGAGGAGAGAAATCGACATTCAAATTTGAGACGTTAACAATTGTCTGGTTTCTGAACGGAAAATTTGCGTTTCTATCTATTTATAAAAAAAAGTTCAATGAAAAATAAATGCTATAAGCAATTTTCGAACAGATTTTCTAAAAAAATCTCACTTAAAAATCTCCTATATTTGAGAAAGATTTTTAACTTGTTTGTTTGTATGGAATGACGTCCTTGGTCTTTTCTATCGATGGGCAAAAACAAAGAACCTGCCTGTTTTCTATCAACTGTTACTCATAAAAAAAAAATGATGAATTGCACCATATTCGAATACAAACTATTTCTGTAAAAAAAGAGTGCAGATAAGGACACGTACAAGACGCCTACAACAAAAAAGAGCAACATTCTTTTCGTTGACTATTATCGATAGAAATCTTCGAAAAAATTCTAGTCTAAATAGAAGTTTAAATAAAAAAAACTGAATACTGTGTGTACATATACAACTATCTGATTAAGTTTGTAAAAAATTAGAAAACATTTGTTGTATTTAATAAATAACACTAGAAAGATTGCAATATGTATTGTTTCTATTTCAATAGAAAAAAATATTCTAAAATTGAAGACTATAAAGTAGATTAAAAAGTAATAAATTTGTAAATAATCAAACTTTATTCTTATTCTATCAAATAACGTTGATATGTATAATTTTGTCTTACCACTATGTACAAAAAACAAAATCTTTAAAAGTAATTCTCCTTTAAACAAACATAAAAATCACACTTCGAAATGAAGTCAAAAACAATCAGAGAATTTTTAAAATTATTGAGAATGGCTTTTAGACTATTTAGAAATGAAAGTATGCCATTGTTCATATTTTTGAAATAGATATATTGAATTTGAATGCAGAGATAATTGTCTTTAAAGACATTTTATTTTATCTTTAAAGTGTTAAGAAAAGTTATAGCATGGAAAGCCAATTTCATATATTTGAAAAATTGTGTGCCTACAATTAGATGCAGAAATGTTAATTTTGAAATTCATAGAAATGCCTAACTTGTTGTCTCTTTTCTTGATTCATAAGAAATTTATTAACTCAAGGTCATTATCATAGAATGTGAAAAAAAATGTGCTTATTTGATGTAGTTTTTCGAGTTTTGAGGAAAGAAATTCATTGAATGGAAGTTTTGCATTTAAACATGAAATTAATGAGATTTTATTATTCATTTTTGACCTGTTATAGTTAGTTACTGAGAATGTTTGACATTCTACACTACTGAAGAGGTTTCAACAGTCAATATAATACTTAAGTAATAATAAAAATAAGAAATGAAATATCATTTGGTTCATAATAATTATTAACTAACGTAGCGAATTTTGTTTGTATATACAACATAATATAACCAAATTCAAAACAAAAGATCTATTACAACAGAATTAGATTATTTTCAATGTATATATGGTCATGTCACAAGATGTTAGGAAAATTAATACGCCAGCCTAGTCCAATAAAAAAACTGTTTTAAGCGTTTAATATTGTAAATGATAGTGGCACTGCTATCGTCAATTTTTTTTAAACTTCTTGTGTTATCTAATTTCAACAATATATGAAATTCAGAGAAATATACTGCTACAAAAATGCGGTGTTTCTGCATCATAGAGAAAATTATAGCTAGAGGCTCATGTTGCATCATGGATGTCAGGCCCTTGTCAAAAAAAAAATATGATAATCAATTTTTAAGATCCGATAATTTGACCGATGACCAGTGAAAAGGTGACTGCGATTGGTAACCGCAATTTGAGAGAGTATTTTCGAAAAATAGACGTACCCCATTGTGACTGAAGAAGGCTTATATTGCATTCAACTCTCCTAAGTTCGAGTTGAAAGTATGCTAGTTACCATCGCCTAAATGGCCTCCTATGGCTGTTCATCGATCTACGATCATTGAATCGCTAAAGGTTTTAGTTTGCTACTTGAATGACAAGAAAAGTTTTTTTACTTGACAAATGGAATCTATGTTGACGCATACACACATTTTGGTTGTATGATCGTTAATCTGCTCATACTCTTTCACAAAAATAATTGCAGAATGTCTTTTATGTTTGGCTGACTTTTGACAACAGATTTTGTAAAACTGCCATGAAAAAACTTGTATTTAGGGAAAAGTTACGTAAAATGGACGACTCTTTTTCGCTCATCAAAAATCCTAAGAAAGCTTTATTCTTTCACAGAATACTTCTGGAGTGGACTATGCAATACAACGTCTATGTATTTGAATTTTTATAAGACGTGAGATGTAGGGATAACTTTCTTAATGAGTTATTTACTTTTTTCGATCAGCGCAGTATGTCTTATGAGAAGATTCGTAGTGAAATACGACTGAAAACAGAAAAATTCATCTTGAATGACCGAAAAAAAATTAGTTATAAAAAAATATTTTTGTTCCAGATATGTCTGATCTCGATTCGACACAAGTTCGTACTGCAGACGATTCAATCTCTTCGATTGGTGAATATGTAAGTAGTTCTAAAAGCAATTTTTTTCAAAAAACGAAACAGCAGTAATTAAGAACTAAATAGAAACATGAAAGTTATGAAAATCAACATATTTTGATTATAGAATAACTCAAGACATACTCATTATATATCAAATATGTCTTTGCTATTACAGGAGGTCTATTTAAAGCTTGTAAGCCCGGTCGATAATTTTACGCCATCTGAATATCCATTGTCAAGTAAGCTCTTTTTGTCCTCTATGTTCATTACATTCTTTACTCGATATTTGTCACTCTCATTTTCTAGAAGAAACAACAGTTGGTCGTAGTTCTCCGTCTGATGTAATAATTCCTGTACAAGTATGTTTTTCTCTTTATGTTTCTTATACAATAGCACTAACTAAATTCTCATGGTTTTTCTAGTCTCTTTCAAAACAACATGCAAAAATTACTTATTCAAATGGCCAATATTTTGTTCAAGATTTAGCATCAAGCAATAAAACGTTTCTAAATAAAGTATGTGGTAAATGATAGATTACATGTTTTGCCAGATTAAATTTGATTGCCTTTTGAGAGCGTTGAAATGAGATTGCTTGTCTCTTCAAGACAGACTCCTACGGGGCAACCCCGAATCCCATCCCGTCTGCCCCGTCCTGTGGGATACACGGGGTTTGGACAAAAAGCAAATTACGGGCTCGGGACAAGTTGCAGAAAAATGTCCCGTAAGTTTTGTCTTTTGATTGTAATTATACTGCAACTTCAAATATTTAATTCTTGTAATATCGAGTGATCCAGAATAAATGGCCCTCCTCATACTTTTCTTATAATGTTTTTTCTTTTCAATCAATAGACCTGGTCGTTTTCAAAAGATGTGTCGTCAAATTCTCTACAAAACTTGATCAAACTTATTTCTATAAAAAGTTAAGAAGAAAGATGAAACGAAAAATATTCAACATGACGAAAGGACCAACTGTCTAAGCTATATTGTTTTACAACTTTTGGAATATTTTAAACAGGCTAAAGACAATGAAACAAAATTGAAGATATTTTTGAGTACTCTAAAGTCCGCTCTTTCTCCTTATGCAGTTCACAGTTCGTTCAAATCTAAGTGAGCACTGAAAAATCTGACATTCCAAAATTCACCTCAAGTTGACCAAAATCTGCTATTGCTCGACAGGTGAATTTATGAAGAAAGCTTTAAGATAACTTTTGCAGCTGAATCTGGCACAGGTATCATTTCTCACCAAAATAGAAAAAGACCGAGCTAAAAAGGTGCTATGTTGCTGCAAGGTTGATTTTGCATTGTACATCCAATACTGGTTGATAGAGCTTTTCAATGGTTTCAAAATGTGTGTGTTCTCTTCTTCTCATCATCCAACTCAATGAAAGTGGTGGAACAGAACGTTATTTCAGCTTAGAAAGTTGGTCCTTTTCATCGTGTTGAGTATTCTTCATTCCATTTTTCTCCTTAACTTGTTATAGAAATAAGTTTGATTGAGTCTTATAGAGAATTCGATGGCGCATCTTTTGGAAAAACGATCAGATCTAAGGATTGAAAAGAAAAGAAATTATATGCAAAATACAAGGAGGACCGTTTATTCTGGCCCAACCAATACTATCAAGTCAAAACCATAATTTTACAATAACGAATAAAAATTAACCCAGAGAGGCGAAATAATCCGGATTTAAACTTGAGAAGATGTTCCAAATCTAAAACTAGGCTTACAGTTCTTTCCTTTCGATTCCGAGCTGGTGAGTGGATGTACAACATTCTTTTATACTGCAACTTTTAAGTTTAGATCCAAATAAATTAGACTTAAATTTTGTCATGTGGATTTTTTGCAAAACTGAGTTTGAGACTTTAAGCATGTCTTGTAATAGTTACGGTTTATCACAGCAGAAAACATTTTTCAAAAAATTACGGGACAAACGGGATGGGGCAAAAAAGCCCATGAATTTTTTCACGGGACAGACGGGTTCGGGACAACATTATTTGCTCACGGGCTCGGGGCAACAGAAAAGTTTGTCCCGCAGGACTCTACTTCAAGACACATTTCTCGGTTTGTGTTCATATCGACATCTCGTGACAAAACTATTTTGTTTATATTTCAGGTACAATTGACACCAAATGTTTTATATGCAATGAAATATGGGGATGAGCTCCAGTTTGGTGATATTACATGTTTATTTGAAAAAAGCAATGTATGTTTCTGTTCACCATTAGAATTATAAAAAAAAAGTCAAGATTCTTTTCAACAATCATTTTTGCTATTAGGTTCTTCTACCCAAACATAGTGAAAAGCAATTATCATATATTCCAGCAGCCAGTACGTTGCAAGAGGATAGTTATCCATCGATTGATGATGAATTCGATTTAACTGTAAGAGACTTTCCATATACACTGCTTTATTTTCTGTATGTAATGGATGTTAAATAATTTTTTCCTTTTTTTTAGACACCCACAGAACAAAATAATAATGGTGGAAATGTTCAACGTAAAAGTTTTGTTGATAGTCATGTAAATAATGATATTACCAGTGAAGATTCAGCCGATTGTATACGTAAGGACGATATTGAAAGTTCTACAATACTTTATGAACACATTTTCGATATCTATTGTTTTTGATAGCATCAACACAAGCAATTACGGATTCGTATGATGATGATATTGAACCAGTGCAACCAATGAAAATTTGGAATAAAAATAATAATCGTAAGTAATAAATCTTTTTAGCATTTTAGATTAATGAAAGATTAGGCTTCATGTAAATATGGTTGATATAGTGTGATCTGTGATAGATAATAGTAATAGCATAGCAGAATTTTTCCAGTATTCATTTTTCAGTTTTTTGTAATAGTGATTTCTTTTTGTAGGAATGATTCGACCAGTTACACAAGTACGAACATCAATAAAATTTGGAAATTCTTCTTCACCAAGTAAGTGTAAAATTCTTGAGAACGGATAGAAAATTGTATAGATTATTTGATATGTTTTAGATATGCATTCTTCAGGTGTTGATAATGAACTGTCGTCATCTATCCATACAAATCGAAAACAAAATGGTATCGGTAGTGAACATCAAGCATTCAATCAATCAATAACATCACCTGTCAGAGCGTCTTCATCATTATTAAATAACAATGATAATTTTGAAGAATATCATGCCGATGAAATACTAATTGGTTGTAATACAATACCAGCTACATTGCCGCTTATTGAACAAACAAATTTAAATATGAATGATCAACTGGAAATCGTTTCATCGTCACAACCATTACAGTCATCAACAGACGAACAAAAACAAGACATCATTAATAGTGAACAAGTAACAGTGGTCAACACTACTACAACAACTATTATTAAACAAACTGAAACGAATGAAATAAATGCTTGTATGTTTAAGCATTTTTCGTGAGTTTTTACTCCTTTCACTACATTTCAATTAAACAAATAGGAATAATAGAATTCATTTTATATAACAGATATAAATTGAAGAAGAGGAGAAAGACTTTCACTTTTATATCTCACAGTATTAATTTAGCTTTTTTTGTTATTATTTTTTTTTTTAGTCGAGGTTAATACACAATCATATGACCTCGAACCCGATGAAATAGAGATGGCTGGAAGTCAGCAAGAATATGTAGGTGAAACTCAAGCATATGATATAGATGATAGTGATGAAATAAAATCATTAGATGAAGAACAACAGCAACAAGTCGCTACTAGTCGGAGTGAACAAGTAATAGATGAAATTGTGACAAAAACCACAACCACAACAACAACAACAATTACTACAAGGACTATTATTGACATTCCGTTTGATTTACAAAAAGAAGAAGAGAGTAACAATCAAGTAAAAAATGACGGTGAACGAAGATTTCCCACACCACCTACAGCTGGTACCTTGGCCTATAGCATTGAAGATGAAATGGCCGATGATGAAGACAGAACTCCATCACCCAATCCAGAAAGACCACCAATACCACAAACGCTTGCATATCAACTGATGCCCGATAATGATATAGAAGATGATATGACACAATCAAATGGAGATAATGAAGATTTATCTTTGGCACCAAATCCAGACATGCCAGCAATACCACAAACACTTGCGTATCAACTGATGCCCGATAATGATATGGAAGATGATATGACACAATCAAATGGAGATAATGAAGATTTATCTTTGGCACCAAATCCTGAAATGCCAGCAATACCACAAACACTTGCGTATCAGCTGATGCCCGATAATGATATGGAAGATGATATGACACATTCAAATGGAGATAATGAAGATTTATCTTTGGCACCATCCACTAATTCATCTTCAAAAGCGTTAGAAGAAGAAAAGAGTATTGAAAAACAACCTCAACAATCAGTCATTGCTAGTCAACCATCTGTTGATGATGAACGTATGGATAGCGGCAATTTAGAGACTACCGGTGAAGCAGATCAAATAGAGCCATCTACTATTGAATCGACATCATCCAAATCGAACGATATCGAAGCACCGAAAATGACTCCTGATCGCGAAGAAAATAAACTGCAAAAAATGTCATCTACTATTTCAGAATTCAAACCACATGGCAAAAACCAATCTGTTGATGACGAACCGGTGAACCAAGCCGAAAATAAGAATGGTAACAGAAAAATAAAGATTTTAGAATCTTAGGATTAGATTATTTTATAAGACTGGTGATTTGAATTCGATTAATACTCAAAGCTTTAAATATTCGATGGTTTATATTGCCTTTCTATTATATTTAGATCGACTAACATCGAATGTTGACGATCACGTTATTACAGTGCCCAATTCTCTGTCAGAAAAATCGTCTCTTGTCACAAAACTGTCCCAGCCTCCGGTGAGTGGTGATAATGAAGCAAGCGAACTGTTCGATGATATTGGAAAAGATGTAGCAGTAGTTGAAACTGATTTTAATCGGCAACCATCGACGGAAACTGCTCAACTAACGTCCATAGATGAAAAAGATGAAGTTGCAACGAGTACAGTAAGTCCTCTGGGAGTCGTATCACGAAAAAACTTAAGTCTAAGTTTAAGACCGACTTAAGTCCGGGAACTTAAACCGTATCACGAAAAAGACCTAAGTTGGCGATTTGTTTACTTTTTAAAAGTCGTTGACAACAGTGACAAATTTCGGATAAAAACCCGCAAAATAACGAAATATTTATTCTCTAATCTTTAGAATGTCGTTTTCGGCGAATCGTATCGTTAAATGCCTGATCTATTCAAAAAATGCGTCAATGACTCAAGTCCGACTTAAGTTTTCGGTCTTAACTTCCAGACTACATTTCCCATGACTTAAGTCACCTTTTGACTTAAGTTTTTTTGTGATACGACCCCCTAATGTATGTCTTTTATTTATTTATTATCTTTCTACTTTATAGCCGTCAGAAACGCATACATCTGCTGGTGCTCATTTATTATTCCCAAGTGTTGTTGAAAAACAACTATCTGAATTTGAGAATGAAAATAATAGTACAACTAAATTGAATACTACCGATGTGATTGATAATGATGATATCAAAGAAATAGATGCAACAACAAGTACGATATCACTTGTTGATTGATTGAAACTGACTTTCTCTTACTTTTTATTCTTTTTTACTAGATGATCAGCCACAATCTTCGAATAAAACGGAAGTGCAAACTGATGTTGACGAAGCTGAAAATGATGTAATGGAGCCAGACAATAACGAACCATCTACGTCTGTAGAAGACACCACCATAAAACCAACAGTCGGTCGCCGTGGTGTTTCGCGAAAAAATGCACGTCGCGCGCATGGTAGAAAACAAAAAGTTGTAAGCTCAAAACTTCATGGTAATCGTGGAAGACGCAATGCCATAATTCCAACAGCAAATGAACCAACAGTCACAGATATAACGATCGATGAAACAGTCAATACAGAAAACGAAGATAACATGAATGATATTAGCGAAAGAGAAAAACTAGATGAAACGTTACCACTGCCACAAGAAAAAGAAGAACCAATATTATCTGAAAACACCGGTGAAAATAAAGTCAATACTAAACAAAAGGATGAAAAAAAAACACCTAATGTCAGACATTCACAACGTATACGAGAACGAGCAACGTCAGGAAAAATACGTGGATTTCCGTACGACTATAATGAATATGTTGATTTGGATGAATTAGAAAAGACTCAAACAAATCGTAAAACAAAAACTCCAGCAAGACAATCGCGCGCATCGAAACAGCTACCTTCTACAAAACGAAAAAGTTTGAGACAACATATTACTGATGATCAACAAGAAGAAGAAAAAGAGGAGTCTGGTGATAATAATGGTGCTGAACCAATGGCAATGGATAACGAAGAAATACAAAATACAAAAAAAGGTTTTAGTAATAAACGTAAAAGAAAAACAACAGCACTCACAACTACAACGGCAACTATTTCAAAACGTAATCGAACATCTGCACCATCGAAAAGGTACATGCTCTGACATTAGTACTTTTTGTAACTTAATCTTTCTTGATTTCTAGTCGTACTTCAACAAAATCTGTGTCAAGTACAGTAGCAACCCCATTAACCAACAATCGTCGACGAAAATTACCGTTACCAGTCACTCCGGCTGTTGATGACAAAATATCAGGTCGTTCTATCTCATCATCAACAATAACAGCCAATGAAGCTAAACGGCAAAAACGTAGTAATCAACCAACAACATCAACAAACATCAGCAAACCTTCTACGTTAAAAGCAGAGAATAATTCTGGTCGTACACGCTCAAAGTCAAGAACACCGAAATCTGCTCGTGCTGATGAAGATGATCAACAGCAAGTTCAACAACAATTAGTTCTTCAGACGAGTACACCTCGTGCTCGTCAGTCAGGACGTCAACAGTTCATCACATCGAGTAAACAGTCATCAGCAAAACCCAACAAGAAACAGAAAACTAGTATGCAACCAGAAACCGAAGAAGTTGAAGAAGAGCGACCAGTGCGAATAGCTTTAAGCAGTCATTTAGTAAGTAGAAGCATTATGATATTATTTAAATATGCACTCAGGGTACGATCAAGTATATGGCGCTTTTCCATCTTGTAGCATGAACTTACCTACTTATAACCTTACCATACTAGAATCAGCCGACAATCGAGAAAGTCAGTTACATTTTAATGAAAAACTTCCTAGTTACTTTTTTGTTTCTAGTGTATATATATTTTCAAAATTCCTAATATTTGGCTAACATGAAGAATTGAAACTTGCATATCATTCGGATGAGATAAGCTAAAACTACACGAAATAATCTTGTTTTTGAATTACACTTTTTTTCTCACAAGACTAAAATTGAGACTATATGAATAGTAGACACAATTCTAAGCTCGAATGTGCATCGTATAGTAATTCAATTAATGTTTGGTCTTGTTTTTATAGAATTTTAATCAACAACAGCTCGATTTATTAAAGAAACTTGGTTTTGATATTATTGATGAAAGTTGTCAAGTTGATGTGTTAGTAGTTGATCGTATACGTCGTACAAAAAAATTTTTCATGTGTTTGGGAAGAGGTGCACATATCGTATCACCAACATGGATCTATGCAATGTTACGTGATGAAAAATATTATCCTATTGACAAATTTTATTTAAACGATCAGCAAGCAGAACAACGTTATGGTTTTAATTTAAAAGAGAGTGTTCGTTTAGCCAAACAACGACCAATATTTGCTGGCTATAAAATATTTTGCACAAAAGATACATCACCACCATTCGAAGATTTGAAAGGTAACTGCTATTCTTCGCAGAAATAAAAAATATATGAGAATAGATTAAAAATAATTTTGTGTTTATTGAATTTATACTAGCAAAAATTATGTATTCACTTCTAATCTCTAACATACAGAAACAGGCACGAAAATTATTATTTGTTTTTTTCTCTTCTAGATATTATTGAAGCAGCTGGTGGAAAGTTAGTTGATAAAATTAGTATGCATCGTCCAGCCAAAGATTTAATATGTATAGTAGCCCAAAAACATAAACAAGAATATGCAAATTTAAATAAACGTAATATTCCAATTGTTAGTGAAGAATTTGCTTTAAGTGGAATAAGCAAACAACGTTTGGATTTTGATACGTATCCTTTTGATTAAAAAATAGCTATACGTTATTCTTTCTTTTCATATTAGAATTAATTCAATAATTATAAGAAAATTTTGAATATTGCTCGTCTCTTTCACCGTTTATTTCCATGAAGGTTTTCTATTAATTCTGAAGTTTTTTCTGTTTCTAGTTTATTCCTTGACTAATCATTTTTAATTTCTATAGATTTTCGTTATTTTCAATATCCAATTCTAGTGCTTTAACGTCAACACCACCCGTAACAGCATCTCAAAATATTGCTTCAACATCTACAACACAATCAACAGCACACTCTTCTGCTTCTCATCTGCCATCACGAAAATAGAATATTATTATTACGATTACAATAATAATTATCATTATTGTACTTAGAAAACTAATGACGAGAATTTGTTCTTCTTTGATTTATGAACTCTTTCTCTCTCTCCCTCTTTTTATATCTTGAGTCATATATTTTTTTTTTCTCTATTTGTTTATCTGCTTCGTCTCATCTTAAAATTAACATTTATCCGCTAAGAAGAACCATTAGTCTGTCTGAAAAGTATATCTTTGTTGTTTCATGTGTATAGCATTCTTATGAAGAAGCCGATTAAGTTATAATTTTTTTAATATTACTCCGTATCGGAGGAGCTATTTGTTTGCTTGTTTGTATTTTTGTTCTTATCCAGCTCATAATAAACCATTACTTTTGATTGTACATACAGTTGCTTCATTGAAAAACATTCTATAGCAAATGGATGGAAAAAGTCTTGTTTGTTTTTTCTAAACCTATTATTCTTTAGTTCATATTAGTCATGTACGTATAAGCGAACAAAAGTCTCTATAGTTTAATGTAATATGAAAATGAAAAACAAAATGATCTTTTCCCGGTCAAAAACGAAATGATTGATAACTTTTCAAATTTCAATATCGTCATGTCTATTAGAAGAAGAAGAAGAAGAAGAAAAAAAACGGTAGTTTGGTGATGTTTTTTGAATTTTATCTTTTCATAAAACAAGTGATTTCTTATGTTCTCAAAAATTTGCGTTCTTTAAAAATTTTATTTTGTTGGTATATTATTATTTTTTTGTTTATTTGGTTTATTTTTTCTTTCCTCTTGCTTATATTCACTGTTCATTATTCTGTTATACGCGCACATACATTATTCTTCTGCTATAGAGATATAGGAGAATATATACATATCTATATCCATATACCTCCCTTATTCGCCTTTCTCTTTGTGACGATTTTTAGCTGTGCGAAAACAAAAACAAAATATTTCTTTTAAAATAAAACCGTTATAAAAGGTTTATCTGATGTATTTACTTTGGGAGAAGGAACTAATGCATTCTTTGGTTTTTTTATTTTGTGTACAGTCAGTATACTTTTCTAATAGAAAAGTCAACGAGATAGATTAGAATTACTGTGCGAGTACTGTTCACATACTTCAATCACTATTTCTAACGATTTTCACAGTTATTTTGTGTTTTAAACATTTGATTCTGTTTTAACATTTACTATGCATTATATGGATAATTTTTTTCTATTAATTTAATATTATTTTGTATTTTAGATTAAATGAAACGGTCCTGGAGAGTATTGGACCTTTAACATAATAACACAATGAAATACTCTGTCAGTTGAGATAAAAATTCAGACACGTTGATTTATATCTGAATATGGCCTCATTTTTGTGTTTGTTTATACTCTTCTTTCGTCAACTAAAATTGTAGAGTGTATTTAACATCAACTTTTCGTTTATGTATATTTTTCAGAACATTACCGATCGTTATCTTTAATAGATTCAAATTGTTTACATATGACATATCGGTTATTTACAAAATTCGCTGCAAGAACTAAATCTACAGTGGTAGCCAAGAAAGAAAGTTAGAAATATTCATTGTTGCTATTTGTTGGCCCATTAGACTGAAAAGTGAACGTTTCAGGTTGACAAAAATTTTCCGTACATTTTGATAAGAATCTTTTTTTACGTTATATAAGTACTGATTAAAGACGAAACTACTTCAGTTGATAGAAGAAAGTGTCAGCTACAAAAAATATAATTTTGAAAAATTTCTTTCCTTAGGGTGAAAACGCGATTTACGCCGATTTTTTTCTTCTTATGTGTCAGAAGAACAATCGAGAAGAAATATGTACATGACTCAAGCACATTTTTTTCTTGATATTGTACCAAAAAAATGTTTTTTTAACGTCATCATGTCAAAATAAAGCTTTGTGACCTTTCTGCTGATATTAAGGTCTAAGTGTTTATTGACTTCAAAAAATGACTTCTACCTGTCGGTTTATGCACCTTTCTTAATAATATTAATTTTTCGATTGAAAGATGGATCACATTTTTCCATTTAACTTCCAGACTATGTTTATCTTACTCAGTTTTTGATCTGTTTCGAATAGCTTAATCAGAATTTTTTTTTTCATTCACTCATTTCTGAGATTGAGCAGTTAAACTGGAGAGTATGCGCACTTTTAACTTAAAGTCAGTTAAATTAAACTCGAATTATCTATTTCATTTAACGAAGAGATGATTTTTTTGTGCAAGCGAACACAGATGCTAACGACTTTTTTAAAAGAAAACGTTGTTTGTTGATCTTTTTTGAATTTTTCGTACAATATAGTTCCTCAAAAGCTTTATAATTCGCTTCCATTTTTTTGCGAATCAAAAGCTTTATATTTATTTAGTTTTTGATTGTTACTACAGTGTCATTTTGTTATTTTCTCTTTTAGCTTTTGATTTATGTCATCGTTCGTTCCCGAACTGTATCGATGAATTGAAAACTAATATGAAATAATTAAGACCAGTTAGTCAGTTTGATATCCTATTTTGCTAAAGGTTTTATTATCAGATTGTGAAATTATCATATCAGATATGAACGTTACAATCATTTATTTTGAATTTACCTAACAAAGTTTGTTATTTCAGTGATATATACGGTTCTTTTTGACAAACTTCTATTTTTGTAAAAGATAAATGAATAATTATTTTTTCTCATTTTATTTTTTGGGGTCTACGCATTCGTTATGTTATCTATTCTTGATGCATACAATATTTTTATGATTTCTTTTTCAGATATTGTGTTTACATTTTATTTTTTCTATTCTTTTTTGAAATAATCACATCATTATGGTTAAAGTTCTTTTAACAAACGTTGTTGTACATAATAATCCAGCAAAATTTTCTTCCAGTTTTAATTTTGAAATACAGTTTGAATGTCTAGAACAATTAACACACGGTAAATTAGATAAGTTTTTTTTGTTTTTTTCTTTGTTGATTATTTTCTTGAAGATTTATGTAACGTAGTCTATTTTTAAGAATTGGAATTTAAACTTATTTATGTTGGTTCAGCTGAAACATGCGATCATGATCAAGTATTAGATGTTGTTGTTATCGATGCTGTACCAGCTGGAACATACAAATTTTTATTTGAAGTATATATAATCAAATTAACATCAAATAAAGAAATTATTTCTTTTCTAACTTTAGGCTCCAGCACCAGATAAAAATAAAATTCCTGTAGATGATGTTGTTGGTGTCACAGTTGTATTAGTGAAAGGAATGTATCGTGATCATGAATTTGTTCGTGTTGGCTATTATGTCTTAAATGAATATGATGATCCAGAGCTTAAAGAAAATCCACCAACAAAACCAGATTTTGATAAAGTATACAATTTTAGAGTATTGTCTTTTTAAAGTTCTACAAATGATAATTATTTTAGTTATCAAGAAATATTGCTGTTGGTGATCCACGAGTGACAACGTTTCCAATTAATTGGGAAGATAATCCTGATTGTTTACCATTTCCTCCACTATCAGAAGAAGATCAACAAAGAATGGCTGATGCAATGCAATCAGTATCCGTAGAAAATGATGATAATATTGTAAATCAATTTGATAGTAGTCTTGATGATCATTTTAAATCTTCAACAACGACTACATTCGATAATTTATCAATGATAAACACAAAAACAACGGATACAACAGCTGTAATAACAGTCACTGAAAACAATGGTGATGTTTTTCAAACAACAGCTGCTTAATTTTTGAAAGAATTATTTTTTTTTGTGTTAGATTCTCTATGTTTGTATATTATGCACAGCACATGTTATTTGATCTCTGTGAGATCATCTTATTATTTTTTTTTACTATTAGCTATTTTGTTTCAAAATTGACTTGTTTCTTATTTCTTTTACGGTGCTGATTTCTCTCATATATATTTTGTAGCGAAGTGAAAGGTATTTTTGATTATTATTTTTTGTTGATGTTTTCATTGGTTGCATGTTTATCAAAGTCTATTCTGTTTAATGTAGTTCTGATTTGTTGTTATACTATCAATGAAAAACCATCATATGAAGAGGTAATTGTGCTGCAATGAAACTTGTACTGAAATTGTCAGTAAGTTTTGACTAATAGCGGGTGGGGCAAAAGTTCTGCATTAACTTTTATTTTTGATATAGCATGGCAATGGAATATCATAGAAACTTTATCCTTTTTTGTTTTTATTAGAAAGAGCAAAGTGTCTGATAAAGAAATATATAAAAGCATTTGATTGGAAATATTCTCGAAAGCTACAAAAATCTTAGAACTAAACTTCCTTCCGCAATTTCGGTCACAATTTTTGTATCATAATATATTTGACTTGTTTTTATTACCTACTTTCGATGTTTTCGAGCACCATACATATGAAGTTGTTCATTACAACGCGAAGGCTTTCGTATGATATTAAAAACGTTGGTCTTGAGCACAAGAGATTCGACAGAAGATCGTTTGATTAAAATCTCGATGTGGCGTTTACAACGCGAAAAGAAGTTTTTATCCTAATATCTTACAGAGCATTTATGTTCCATTCCAAATAATATCGTTTGGTAGAGGATTTAATAAGCTTTCTCTTTCTTGTTAAGTATATAGTTTCTGGCAACCTAGAATTTCTTTTTTCGACTGCGATCGGCAGTAATGAAAAATCGGTGATAACATAGAATGTTATAAAAGCGCTCATTTCGATCGTTATAAAACACGAAGAAACTTTCTTTTTTGTGCAGCAATAGTCCTTACATTATAAACTCGCAATAAAAAGATAACCTTTCTTATTTTGTGGAATTTTTTCTAAATTCGAAAAGGTTACGGAACAGTTTCCTGATCCTTTTGTTCTAAGAATTTTGTATCTCTGAAGAAACATTACCGATCAAATGCTTTTATATTTTCTCTACTAGACACTTTACTCTTTCTGCCAAAAAAAGGATAAGATTTCTACGATATGCCATCGACACGCTATATCAAAAACAAAATTAATGCAGAGCTTTTTGCTTCGCCCGTTTAACGGGCGATAATATATGACAATAGTTTTTTTCTAGAAAAGGGTGCACTTTTCACGGAGTCTCAGCATAAAATATCTTGATGCTGGAATAGTTAATTAGCTAGCGTTGTGGTTTAAAGTATAAAAATGATCAAGAGACAGTTGAATAAGAACATAATATATATTCCGAATGTTGTATGGAGAGATAATATCCCGAAGATATTAAAACAGACAGTTATATTTCAAAATGAATGAATGAAAGAATTTAACGAAAAATATTTTTTAAGAATAGTTGTTAAAAATATACTCATGTCTGATGGATTGAACTTACTGATCGACATAGACGTTTAATGCAATGAACCATTTGAACAGATTTTTATCACTTTTTCTTTGATGGATTCTATGTAGCCATCATTCATTCTACTATTTTGGTACGGTATTTTGATCTAAATCTACTTTTACTTATTTCAGTTTCTATACAATCTATATCAAATCACCCATGTCGATGAAATCGCCTAACTTCTGCCGATTAATCGGCGATTTTTTGGCTTGTCACTATGGAAACCCAGCAGAAAAATCTTGATTAATCACCATTTTGAGTCAAAATCGCGATTAATCGGCAAAAGTTAGGCGATTTCATCGACGTGAGCAGTCATATATTCTTAGACAGTTTTAATTAATACATATTCTATAATGAATACTAGATTTAAATGCCATGATCTGTTGATGTTGTATGTTCCTGCAGAATCTCTGTTATATATTCAACAAAATAAAATTTGAAACACAGATTGTCATTTTATTTTATTTACATCAAAAATATATCACAGAGTTGCTTTGATGGCCGCGCTCATTTTTGTCATACGATAAAAAGTAAACGGATAAAAAAAGCAAAAAAAAAGAATCAATACAACGGTAAATAACAAAAGAGAAACAAAAAAAGCGACACACACACACACACACACACACACACATACAGCGCATATTAAAAAACATGATATTGATCAGACATAAAAAAATAATAGCAGCACAAACCTAAGAAGTATCTGTGTGTGTTATTTTGTTTTATGTTTCTTTGTTCCAATCAAATCTTGGACGGAATAGTGTGAGGTTTTGAAATAAAAAATCAAATAAAAAAATAAGCAAGTAAAAAACGTACACTCATATACACTAACAGACATTTTAGAATAATGAACGAAACTATAGTTTTTGTTTGACAGTCGTTAGATTGTTGACCAGATATCGTAAATCGACTCAATTTGTTTCTTATTGACCAAGTGTCTTTGTTGAATATTGATGTTCAGGTAACAGTATCATCCCTATTTCAATTCCAATGAGAAACCATGTCAAATGTTTCTATCATAAATCAGAATGTGTTGAAATTAATGATATTTTTCAATCGATCTTGTTAACACCCATAATACATCTGAACTGTTACATATTCATTACTATAAATAACCAGTTTTCTCTTCCAGTAAGAAAAGAGAGAACTGTGGCTTATATCTAAAAGATTATTGTTTGAAGTAGGTAACAGCAACATGTTAGTGTAAGAAGATAAAGCTACTGGCATAAAAAGTCTAAAAATTTGACAAGTTGTAATTTGATTTAGTTACTGATGCTTTTTTTTCTTCATTCGATTTTACTTAGTTGGTATAATTGAACTACTATCGATAAGTAAGAACGCATTGACACCAAGTCATAATAAAAAGAAGCTTATTGCATCAATACTATGACGTTTTTTTTTTGATTTTTATATTATGATTGCATCTACTTTAGAGCGGAATTAGGTATAAAGTTCATTTATCTACGTGTGGAGGTGTTAGCCGATTACTTTATCTACGTAAAACTACAAAAAATATTTCCGCCTTTGGCAGCGATGGCAGCATGAAGATTTTTAAGAAGAGTTATCTTACTGAGAAAATTTCTTCTTCTCTAAGAAGTCTCAAAATATGGTAAAGTAGATAGGAAATTTTCAATACCTGGTGTTTAGTTCACGAGATAAAATACAGTAACTTTTATGACGACTGATCACCATACTGATGAGATGGAGGAATGGACTACAGAATAGTGGTAAAAGGAGACGCGAAAACAGTGGCGTCTATCCTGTAGGACGCTTGAGGCGCAATGCCTCAAACAAACGTGAGGTGGTACGCTTTTCTGCTGTAGATATTAACTTTTTAGGTGGTACACTGAGTGATTGAACCTTCGAGGTGGTACAAAATGCCTCAAATATTCAGGTGGGGATAGACGCCCCTGCGCGAGAAGAACGGAACAGTGTGCATCAATGCTCCATATAATATATTTTAGAGATAAATATCAATATAATGTTTATTGCTGTCTTTTGCACATTAGTTGATAGTACAGAAATTTTCTAATTTTCAATAATTCTTTTTCAAAGATTTTTTATCAGTGATGACGATGTAAAACTTTAAAAAAAATTTCCGCCTATGGCGATGAAGAAGCAATATATTATTTTAATATTTTTCATAATACAGATTATTACATCTTATAGCCATTTGCTGTCCGGGTATTATACAAATGGCGGTACATTTTTTTCTACTAAATATGTGACTGTAACTGCTAATTAGTTACGAACGAACATTGAATAGCTATTCATTTATACGCGAGCATTTTGAAACTGTGAAGGCATACCAGTGAACTGTCATATATTTTCTTCCAGCATAAAATTAGTGTATAATTTTTCTTTTTTTTTTATGTACTTTGTTGAAAATGAAAAAAAATAACAAATAGTTTGATTACATTACTAACTACTGAGAGTGATTGAGAATCATGAGGATAATGGGATGTTTCTTCTTTCACTCTAGAACCTATTTTACTGCTCATAGAAGAGACATTGTTATTACCTACTTTCGCTGGAATATGATAGTGTTCAGTTTTTATCATTTTTACTTTGGTTAATGAAAAAAAAAAACACTAAGCACTTTTCTTGAAACAAACAAATGGTTAAATTTTTTAATATGACGATAGAAACTTCTCACATACACTGAAAATGACGAGGCGTAAAGTAGATTTTACTTTCTCTCTTTCTTTTTTCTCACACTCAAATTCTTTTTTGTTTAATGGACCTATTATTTAAATTGCATCGTATACTCACATCTTTATAAGAATAAAACTAAAAAAAAAATTTCAAAAATGTCATCTTATTAGTGTGCACTTGAATAAAAAACTATATATAAGTTTATAGGTCGGAAATTTGAAAAAAAAAAACTTTACCGTTTATTATTACATGAACATTACGTTACCCAAGATAATGTCGTAAAATGTATAAAATGCTTATCAGAAACTGACCCTTTACTGTTTCGATTACTATGAAATATCTACCTTTCTTGTAATATCATACAAATCCGCAAGGGTGATTTTACTACTTTTTCTTTTCTTCTCTGTTCTTGTCATTCACTTTTGTTCAATATAGACTACCCACTTGAAGCAAAAAAAAAAAAAAAAAAAAAAAAAAAAAAAATTTAAAATTAAAACATTTTGCAAATTAATTTTATTTTAAAAAAAAATTTAAAAATATAATGAACGGGAC